GCTTGCTGAAAGTGAAGAGGACTTAAAATATTTACTGATGAAGATCAAAGAGCACAGCCTTCAGTATGGATTACATCTCAATGTAAAAAAACCAAGAATCCTTACTACTGGACCAATAAACAACATTCTTATCAACAGAGGAAAGATAGAAGTTGTCAAGGACTTCATTCTTCTTGGATCAACTATCAACACTCATGGAAGCAGCAGTCAAGAAATCAAAAGACATATTGCATTAGGCACATCTGCTGCACAAGACCTTTTTAAAGTGTTGAAGAGCAAAGATGTCAGCTGAAGACTAAGGTGCACCTGACTTAACCCATGGTATTTTCAATAACCTTATATGCATGCGAAAACTGGACAGTGAATAAGTAAGACCGCAGAAGAATTGATGCTTTTGAGTTATGGTGTTGGAGGAGAGTATTGAAGTTGCCATGGGCTGCCAAAAGAACCAATAGATCTGTTTTGAAAGAAGTTTAGCCAGAATGCTCCTTGGAGGCCAAGGTGGCCAAACGTCATCTCTCATACTTCAGACATTTTGTCAGGAGGGACCAGTCACTGGAGAAGAATATCATGTTTGGTAAGGTGGAGGGTCAGAGAAAAAGAGGAAGACTCCCAACAAGATGGATTGGCCAAGTGGCAGCATCGATGGACTCCAGCGTGGCAACAGTAGTGAGGTTGGCCCAGGATTAGGCAATGTTTTGTTCTGCTGTGCATAAGGTCGCTATGAGTCGGTACTGACTCCATGGCACCTAACAACAACAAATTATAAATTATATACTGTTTTTTCTCATCAATTTTAGACATTCACTTCCTTTGAGATTTATAAGGACCAATCTAAATCCATTTTATTAATATACATAAAGCAATAAACAGGTGTGGCGCTGTGGGCTAATGAGCTGGACTAAGCAAAGTCAGTTTGAACCACAAAGTTGGTGGCTCAAGCTCATCAGCTGCTCCTTGGAAGCCCTTTACAGGGTCCCTGTGGGTTAGACCTGACTCAAAGGCACTTAACAACAATGGAAAAACATGAGGCTATCTTTTTCTTTAATGATTTACAGCCTCAGAAACTCTATGCAGGGTCACTGTGAGTCAGAACCCACTCCACAGCACACGGTCACCGCCGCCATGTAATTATAACAAGGATGTGAAGAAACTAGATTTTAAAAAATACATTACTGATAGTAATGTAAAATGGTTGAGTCATTCTGGGAACTAGTTTGCTAATTCCTTTGAAAATTAACATACATTTTTCATATGGCCCAGTCTTGGGCTTTTATGCCAGAGAAATGAAAACTGAAGTGTACAGGATAACTCTTACATGATTGTTTTTAGCCGCTTTATAATAGTCACAAGCACAGAAACAACCAAAATGGATGAATGGTTAAAAAACTGATACACCCATACCATGGAATGCTATTCAACAATAATAAGGCATGAACTGTTGGTACATTAGTAATTTGGACCTCAAGAGCATTTTGCTGAATGAAAAACAAAAAAAACCAAAACTAGTCTTAAAAGTCACATGCTGTATAATCCCATTTATATGGTAATTATAACCAAGAGAACCGATTAGTGGTTCAGAGAGCTTAGGGATGGCAGGGGAAAGTGAGGTGGCTGTGATAAGCATGACAAAGATCTTTTGTGCTGATGGGTTCGTTTTGTTACTTGATTAAAGCTGTGGCTACAGGCATCAAAGTGTGATAAAATAGTTTAGAAATATGTGTACATTGTCATTGTTAATTTCCTAGTTTAAATACTGTGTTTTAATTTGTTGTCAAATTGGTTCTGACACATAGTGACCCTGTATAGGGTTTCCAAGGAGCTGGTGAGTTTGAATCGCCCACCCTGTGATGAGCAGTGCAGTGCTTATCTTACAGTACCACACCAGGACTACTTTAATTATGTTAGATGTAGTGATGTGGGAAGCTGGGCAAAGAGTATGCAGGCACCTTTCTATAATATATTTGCTATTTCCTGTGAACCATTGTTTATTTCCAAATAAATTGTTTAAGAATAAAAGCCTTGAGGTAATAACTTAACTACATGCAGTACAGCATAAATTGAAACAGAAGCGGTAGCCAAGTGTTGCCATTTTGACATCTTCAGAGACACTACAATAAATATTTAGTTCTGCTTGCACATGCCATGTTTCAGAAATGGCAGCTGCCATAGTGACAGAGCTTGTCTGCCCAGCACCAGTTATCACTCTCCTTCACCACCCAGCCTGCAAACAATGGGGGTGCGTGCAGCGGAGATGTGAGAGCAAAGACATTATGACTCAGCATCACACTGCTCAGACCGGAGATTTTCCTTTGGGACGTCTCCTTTATATTTTAGAGTTTTTTCTGCTCATAGGGATTCCGTAGTTCTGAACCTCCAGGTGCATAAGGAAAGTTTACACACATTTGAATATAAATGCTAACTAAATGGGTATAATCATCAACATAACAAGTATAAGGTGGGTGCCATCCTGAAAAGCTTCATTTTGAATTGAATGAAATAGCACCATCTTTGGTCATGCCACTGTGATTTTACTTTGACATATAGATCAGGAATCACTAAGATCATTTTTCACAAATGTCTGCCTAGGAAATTTTCTCCAATAAAAATTTTAAGTCACAGTGTTACTTGTTACCTTTTAGTAAGTACTTCAGGAACCCTGGTGATGTAGTGGATAACACATTGGGCTGCTAGCTATAAGTCAACAGTTGGAGTCCACCAGCTGCTCCACAGGAGAAAGAGGAGGCTTTCTGCTCCCATAGATATATAGCCTCAGAAACCCCACATAGATTGGCTATGAATTGGGATCAATTTGATGGCAGTCGATTTGGTTTAGTTTGGTTTGGCTTAGTAAGACATTCTTGCCAAGACTTTACACTGATTATCTCCCTGAATTCTCTCAACAGTCTTTAGATTGCACAATCCTTATTCTTAGTACAGAGAAAAAAATGGGGTTTTCGAGGGGCTAGTTGGGTAACTTGAGTAAAGTTGTACACGTTATATGACTGGAAATTGAGTCCAGATCCCAGGTCCTTGACAAGTTTCACTGTGCTGCTGTTATGGGTTTTTTGTTGTTGTTGTTGCTGTTGGGGGTGGAGGGTAGAGGTGAGCTGGCATCCCTGTGTTTGCTTACTTCACAGTCTGTCTTCAGTAGCAACCTAATTGTTTAAGAACCCTGTATTGCCATTCTTGGCTTATTCAGACCTTTCTCAATTCCAGTTTTCACTGGAAAAAACCTACCTTAGCTTTATTTAAGAAAGGCCAAACTGTCCAGTAGTCTCTGATTCTTTTATTTATACTTTTTTGTCGTTTGCTGCCATAGAGTTTGCCCCCAATGGCAACCCTGCACAACTGGATTGAACTGTGGTGATCCATAATATTTTCATTGGTTGATTTTAGTTCTACATAAAAAAATGTGGTCATTCTTAGAAACAGACATAAAATTATATAGGGTATATTGTTCCAACCAACTGGACAATTTATTGTTGTTAAATTAATCTTACTCTTCTGAAATACCTTCAAGAAATTCTCAAGCAAATCATTTGCCTTGATTTATAGCTTATGTCTTATTTAGGTCATAGTAGTAATGAATAACTACCAACACAAGAAAGATGTGTGTTCTTTGTAGATATAAATAAGTCTAGTCTTAATGATCCTTTGCTGGGCAGCTGGGCAAACCCCTAAGATCATGGTGTAAGATACACAATTGAGTATTTCATGAATACCTGGCGTTAGATATAGATACAAATGTTTTGTTTCCTGTGAAGATGATTAAGTGACTTAATTTAAACCTTTTATTTAATACATGACATTTCCCCCATATTGACAAACATGATTTTGATTTTTATAAAATCATAATTATAGGTATAATGTAATATGTGCTGTAAGTTGATTTAATTTCTTCTCATTACAGGAATATATTAAAGGCATCTGTGAACCCGAACTAGAAGAAAGAGAATGTTATCCAAAAGCCATGCACTGCATTTTTGTTGGGGCACAGAGCTTGTTTCTGAAGAGCTTGATTCAGGATACCTGTGCTGACCTCTGCATTCTGGACATTGGTCTTATAGGCATCAGAGGGAGTGCCGAGGCTGTGGTCATGGCTAGGAGTCACATTCAGCAGTTTGTAAAGCTCTTTGAGAATAATGAGAACCTACCCGGCGGTCAGAAAGAATCAGAGGTGAAAAGGAAATTTAAACAATTAGTTGAAGCCCGAGCCGACATTTATACCATGGACTTGTTGATTTTGCCTACTTCCTTGAAAAAAGAACTTTTGACTCTTACTCAAAGTGAGGAAAGTCTGATTGAAACAGGAGATGATGATGTTATTGAAATTAGAGATCCTAAACAATCAGAGTTTCCACAGAATGTTGCCACAGGACTGAATAATTGCAGAGATGAAATTGTTTTGCAGGAAGATGCAAGAAATAAAGCTGGCACTCCTGTTTCTGAGCTTGCAAAACAATTGGACATAATCTTTTCTAGTTCACCAGATATACTTCTTCCAGTAAATGGCCTGCCCCCAGATGAAGAGGCACTTTCCAAAGACAGAATTTGTCACAAAAGGAGATCTTCTGACTCTGAAGAAAGACATACCAAGAAGCAATTTTCTTTGGAAAATGTTCAAGAGGGAGAGCTTTTACATGATGGTAAGACATCAGCTGGAAGTGTCGTCATCGATCTATCTGACTCTTCTGATTCTGAACATTTAAGTCCCGACGTAAAAGACACTACTGAGGAAATGGAATACAATATCCTCGTGAACTTTTTTAAAACCATGGGCTATTCCCAAGAAATTGTTGAAAAGGTCATTAGGGAGTTCGGGCCATCTACTGAACCATTATTACTGTTGGAGGAAATTGAAAAAGAAAATAAAAGGTCCCAAGAAGACAGAGAAATTTCACCTGGCTCAGTGTATCCTGAGACCAACAGAACCAAAACTAAAAGTGTTTGTAGCAGCATAAATGAGCTTACAGTAGATTCCTCTCCAAAGAAAACACAAGCTCACACAAAACAAAATATGATAGAAAAATTTTCTCAGTTACCATTCAAAGCAGAATTGAAACCATGTACCTCAAATTGCAAAATTAATACTATCAAAACAGTGCCAACAGAACAGAAAGAAATCTGGGGTTCAAACCAGAGCTACATTTGTAACACAGACCTTGAAGCAGATGGCCTTTCATCCTCTGTTACCCCTGCAAGTCCCAAAGAAGTTTTTGTTTCAAGGGGAGCTTCAGTTCATCAGCCCAGAATTTCAGTTTTTCCTGAAAATGGTTTGCAGCACCAAACAAAACCCTTGCTTCCAAATAATATGAAATCTACCCGTGAAAGCCGTTCAGGATGTGGTAGCTCTCCTCAGTCTAAGCCAAATTGTCCCCCTCTTTCTCCACCCATGCGGCTGCCCCAACTACCACCTTCAGTTACTGATGCAAGGTTGGCAGGACCATCTGATCATATTGATTCCTCAGTTACAGGGGTTCAAAGGTTTCGAGATACTTTAAAAGTACCCTACAAGCTGGAATTAAAAAATGAACCAGGGAGAACGGATTTGAAGCACATTGTTATAGATGGGAGCAATGTTGCAATTACGTAAGTCCACTCTACAAACGATATTATTGTTTTCAGTAAGACTTTAAACAATGTCTCAGAATGACATTTATAGGAACTACCCTGTGGTGGGGAGGTGATGGCTGGTTGGGAAGGTTTTCTCAGTTCATTATTTGGTGTTGGAAGTTTTGCCTTAACTCTGCTGGTCTTCGTTTCTGAGGGCAGGAAATGAGGGGAAAAAAATCATCTTTTCACATGGCAGTATAAACCCAAAACCCATTGCCATCAAGCTGATTCTGACTCATAGCAACCCTGTAGGACAGAGTAGAACTGCCCCAGAGGGTGTCCAAGGTTGTGATCTACAGAAGCAGACTAGCTTCATCTTTCTTTTGCCAAATGACTGGTTATAGCAGATGCTTTAGCACTGTGCCACCAGGACTGCTGATAAGCAGTGTAGAAATTTTAAATTCATAATACCATAAATGGAGTCCTGGTTTGGTGCTGTGAGTAAAGCACTGCCCCTCAAGGACAGTTTGAGTCACAAGGTCAGCAATTCAAATTCACCTTGGGAACTCTCTACAGGGTCGCTATGAGTTGGAACCTATTCAATGGATTTAATAACAACCACAACAATACTATAACTACCATTAGGTTCTGAATGTGGGTATGGAGCATAAGATAAAAACGATTTTTTTCTGCCTTATTTTATGTGGGAATGGCCCAGTCCTCTCCCCAGTAGTATGTTTCGTGTGCACTGGCCTCTGGTGTGATGCGTACTGTTGGACTTCTGCTCGTCAACTGGTAGCAGTTCCCACTTCAGGAAATTAGTCAGTGCAGACTTTCCAACTAAAATGTTTTATGTTCATTTTTGTAAAAATTGTTAAAGAGTTGCTAGCAAGCCTCTTGGTTTCTGATTTTATACCTGTGGTATGGTATATTGGGTTTCTTGTGTAGGAGACAGTTTTTTTT